CAGCGCCATGGCGGGTGGGCGGCTGAGCTCAGCGCTGGGAAATGTGCTGGATTCCAGGCACCAGGCCAGGCCCGGGGAGGCGAGGGGGCGGGTGGCATCGCACAGGGGATCTCTGCACCCGCTCCTACTTCGTGCAGGCCTTGGCAGCGCCCTCTGCTCCCAGTCCCTGTCGGGGGCCCTTGGGGAGCTGACATCTCTGCCCTGGGCTCTCAGGATTGTGACGGGCTTAGATGCTGAGCTCTGCCAGGGCCCCTAGGAGAGCTGCGGTGGGGGAGAGGGATGAAAATGGGGCTCCCAGGCCCCCAGGAGCCAAGTTGGGCATAGTGGCTTGGGCATTGGGGGTGAGGGGGGAGGTTGGAGCCCTGCTCCTAGCCCCCTGCCCAGCCCTGGGGCTGAGTCTGGTGCTGCATTGCTGTGAGTCTGTGGCCCCATTAACCCCTTCCCTGCTGGATTTGGAGGGAGCCAGTAGGCTGGCACAGGGCAGCGGCTGATCTGTGGGCACAGCATGGGCAGGAGCCAGGGTGAGACCAGGCCCCTGCTCATGTGCAAGGGCAGGGTGGGGTGTTGGGGTCTGTCCTGACTTGTCAGAGCCCAGTCTGCACGGTGCCCCGAGCCTGGGAGGGGGGGGGGGGGGCCTGAGCCTGCCTGCCAGGGGAGGGGTGTCACTATTGGGGTGGGAGCGTCGGGCGTTCAGGGGCCCTGTCCTACCCTGGCTGCCAGGTGCAGGGGACTGGCCCGTGGCCAGCTGGGTGCAAGAGCCTTGGCCAGCGCCACCACAGCCCGCGCCCACCGGGGGATCCAGTTGCTGCTGCTCTCATGTTGCAGGATCCGGTGACTGGGTTGGGGGATGGGAGGGAGCTGGCATTGCACCTGCCTGTGGCTTGTTGGAAGCATTCAGGTCCCCTCACCATGCTCCTTCCCGTTGCTGGGCCCTGGCACATGGGCATTGGGGGGCAGGGCATCCCCCAGGGCTGGAAACGGCCTCACAGAGAAGTCCTGGGACAGTTGGCAGACACGGGGGTCAGCATCTCCCCAGTCCCCACAGCCGGGCAGGGAGACAAGCAGTCACGGACCCCCTCAGCCGACCGGGGATTAGGGACATTAGCCTCCACACGGGCACGTGCCGCCCCATCGTGGTCGGTTACCACTGAGTGCGGCTGAGTGGAGGGATGGGCATGTCCTGGCCACGTGGGGCAGGGGTGCAGATCACATTCCCTCCCTGCTAGCAGAGAAGCTGTGCCCAGGGCTGGATGCCAGGTCCTGGCATGGCCGGGGCTCCCTGCCGCGTGCCTGGGCGGGCTGCATGCTGCGTGCCGTGTGGTGCTGCCCTGCCCCTTCCTGCAAGTGCTGGGAGTGGTCGGAGCTGCCTGTGGGACTGGTCCTGCCAGCCTGGCCGGGAGCTTCTGGGATGTGCCCCGAGGAGCTGGGGAGGCCTGAATAGCTCCCCATCACCCATCCTGGCCCCGATCCTGCCCTCTGTGTCTCCACCAGTCCTTCCTGCCATGTTTGCCCCATCTATGCCCATCACACGGGCCTGTCACGGGCTGCTGCTGCATGGAGCCCCACTGGGCTTGTGCCCGTGGCACGTGGGAGGTGGCTTGTGCCTTGGCACCTGTGGCTGTGCCTCCTCACACAGCCTTTCCCCACACCTTTTACCCAGAGCTGCCCCTCAGTCACGCTGGGTCCCACACACAGCCGCAGCCATCTCCCTTCCCCGGCTCCTAGCAGGGCCCCGCTCTAGCAGCCTTTGGCGCTGGCAGTGCCATGTTGGTGCAGTCCAGCTGAGACCCGCTCCATGGCCGGGCCTGCCTGGGTCGCACAGCAGGGCTGGGGGTCAGAGATGGCTGCTGTCCTGGTGCCAGTGTTCAGGTTGGGGGCATGGTCCAGGCTATGCTCTCTGGGTACCCGGCCTCCTCCTGGTCTCGGCTGTGCCATCGGGGTCCTGCGATCCATGCGTGCAGCCCCAGAGCATCCCTCAGGGGTGGGGCAGGGAGACAGGGCTAGGATGCAGCAAGAGACCCTTGCTCTTGCCCAGGGCGTCAGGGCAGTGCCTGTCTCCAAGGCTTTGTGGTCTGTGCCTGGGGGTGGGTCAGTGGAGCCCTGGTCACCCTGCAGAGCCCAGGACACTGGTCCCAGCCCCTGCAGTGCCCACGCGGGTGGTCCCTCCCAGCTGCTGCGAGGTGGGCACAGGCATGGACTGGGCATACTGGCAGCCATATCCCATGGGCTATACCCAGACCCAGAGCCCCCCTCCTGGGTGAGCTGTGGGCGGGGAGCAGGTCAGCCTGTGCCTGCAGCCGCGCTAAGGGGCTTACGAGCTAATCTGCCCATAATACGGGGCCAGGGGCAGCCAAGGGCACTGGTGACATGAACAGGGGCTCAGCCAGGAGCCCTGTAGGTGGGGGCAGGGGCAGCACATCAGGGTCTTAATGAGGGGCCTTAACGAGACCATGATGTGCCCAGGCCTAGCTGGTTGTGCATCACTCATCTGTCCCCCAGTGCCTGCTCTGTGTGGGCATGGCTTGGGATAGCATTGCCCTGGGGCAGGAGGGGGCACTGGGGGCTATGGCAAGCATCCCTCTGCCCCGTGCCCCCTGGGGGAGCATGTGCCTGGGCATGTGGGGCCTCCTGCTCAGGAAGGCGACACCGGTGAAACCTGAGCACCGTGCAGGGGCTGATGATTAATTCAGAAGCTGCTTCAGGGTCCGGCTGGGCTGTTCTTTGGATGCAGGTACCCAGGGTGGGTGTGGGCAGCTCCTACTAGGCCCTGAACCCCACCAGCCCTGACAGCACTCAGATGGGCACTGCTTCTGGGGCTGGGCTTGCAGCCGTGCCTCATGCATGTGAACGATGGTGCCTGCTGTGATCTAGCTGCACTGGGACAGAGTAAAGGGCACCTGCTGCCAGAGACCTGCAGGGCCCTGCTATCCCTGGGGAGGCTGCGATGCCCATGGCTCATGCCCACCCCTGCATGGCACCTCCTACATCTCTGGATCCTGCAGCATCTTACAATGGTGGGGCAACTGGATAGGCCCCTGCCCCAGCTCTGGCCATGATGCTTCGTGACCCCGGCTGTCCCAAAACACTACATGGGCATCAATGATTCAAAGCAGTAACTGAGATGGGTTGCAAGGATCTGGCACAGCTGAGTGAACAGGCCACTTGATGGCAGGTGAAATTCAGTGTTGATAAGAGCAAAAGGCTTCACCTAGGCAAAAATGACCCCAGCCAGACCTGCCCCATGATGGGCTCTATGTGATCTGTTACCTGCCAGGAGAGATCTCAGTCACAGTGAACAGGTTGCTAAAAGCATCAATACTGTGCTCAGCAGCCATTTAAAATCAAATGATGCATTAGTATGATGAAGTAGGGGGCTGTGAACACAGCAGAAAGTGTCACAATGCCCTGTTATTAATTCATGGGGCATTCACACCTTGAAGGCTGGGCCCAGTTCTGGTCCCCGCACTTCCAGAAGTAGATCGAAGAGCTAGAAACGGTGCAGAGAAGGGCAACAAGGATGCTGAGTGCTATGAAGGGGCTTCCCTAGGAGAGACTAATGAGGCCAGGATGATTCAGTTTAGAAGAGAGATGCAGGAGCGGGGCAGGAGAAAGGTTTACAAGATATTAAATGGTGAAGAGCAAGTCACTAGGGATTTATTACTGCCTGTCTTTCCTCAGACTAGGAGGGGCACCACATGAAACCAGCACGTCGGCAGTTTAAAATTAATAATATGGAAGTTTTTTGCACCCCCCAGCGTGTCATTGAACGGGGGGATGGCGGCGGGGGGACTCAGGGCAACCAGACGTGGTGGGAGCTGAGAGTGCATCCGGATTCACCAAGGGGCTGGACGTGTGCTTTGAGGAAGGGGGCATCGGGAGCTACTGAGCAGGGAGCGAGGGGCACGGGCTCTGCATCAGCCCTGCCTGGACCCTAAGTGCTGGAGGCTGCAAGGGAGAGAGGAACGGGGGAAAACCCTGCTCAGACCTGGTTGCTCTCCTTTCAGCCTCTGTTCTCTGCCTCCTTGTGACAAAGGAGATGGGGCAAGATGGACTGGGGTCTGACCCTGCTCGGGGCAGGTCCTATGTTCTTGTGTCGGGGATGCAGCGAGCCCGGCCTATGGCCCTGTCTGTCTGCAGGGCTGGGGCTGAGGCTGGGGCCACTCCGTGCAGCTGCCCTGCTCCGAGCCCCAGCGCCAGGACCCGTGCAGGGAGGAGGTCCCCGGGGTGGGGGTGGGATGGGCCTGGCACAGGCGCTTGCTCGCAGCAGCATTGACTAAAAAGGGCAGGAGGGAGCGGGGAGCTGAAGG